GCCTACCCGGGTAACCCTAGCTGCCTTGTAAACACGATGAAGAAAAAAAGAGGAAATGTGTGAGTGCTAGGGTAACCTGCTTGCTAGGGTAACCATCTCTAGCTCCTTGTAAACAGGCGCTTATAATTAGTTACCTTGTTCAGACCGATGCTAAAGGCATTGTGAAGGGCTTTTGTTGATGGTCTTATATTTAAGAAATAGAAAACATGTACCGTGTTTCTATCGAGTTATAGAAACACGAGTGTAGGTTTGGGAGAACGAGAAATGCTGTGGGAACAAGAGCCGTAGGCGAGTGTTTCCACAGCTTTTTCGAGTTCTCCTAAACTTCCATGATTGTTTCTATGAAACAATTAGATTATGAGCTCGAGATTTCTATTACGCATAGAAATCGAGAGCGAATAATCTAATTGTTTTAGTATAAATCTACTAGTCGTTCAAGACTTTCATCCAAATCCTCTTCAAAGAATCTTCAAAAACACAAAGAAGCGGGCCCTAGCGCACGCTGCTACGCTACTCACTATCCATCAAAGAATAGAACGTGAGTAGCGCAGCCAATCAGAGGACGGCATTCGTGATACAACGATAGTAGATTTATACTAAAACTCGATAGAAACACGGAGAGCGTGTTTTCTATTTCTTCAGTAGAAAACACCGCGACGAAAAAAGGAAAGCAACTTGTTAACTTTGATTATCAAAGTGTAAATTCTCTTTGCTTGCGCCATCATTACGTCAACAGCTCGTGCTAGTTCTGTGTTTCCATCGAGTTATAGAAACACGATTTTCAACCAATCAGCGCGCGTATTTTCTTAGTACTGTTCTCTAACATATGATAACGATGAAGAAGTAGCAGTCTTCTAAAAAACATGCAGAATTCAAGATTAGAGTACAAAAACCATACCTTCTTTTAAAACCAAAACGACTAAAATCGATACCTTATTGACCAAAACGGCTGAAAAGCCATACCCTTTGGGACCACACGTACCTTATTCTACTCCAATAAATTTGCATAGCTGCTGGCCACGTGAGTGGAAACTCTCTGTAGCCTGCGATAAAGGGTCTTTTATCCCCGGGAAGAGAGAGGGAGGGCATAAATGACCATAAATGGCAGGCTACGCCGGATGGTAGCCCGTCTTCGTCAGATGTGCAAAAGATCTAGAGATCATCTGTAGTTTAATATTAATTGTACCACTGAAAGACTAGGTTTTCCCCTCGCTGTGATATCTCTCCAAGTCATTGCGGATTAATAAAGAAAACGGTATTACACAAAGTGATGGCAGCGGACAATGCTTCCTCCCAGGTTACGATAGGACAGCCACATCTGGCAAAGCAAGATCTGTCTAAATTGGTAAATATAGCATTTTATGGTAGCCGGTTCGATCACGTGTATTAAATTGTACATGGCTGGTTTTGATAAAGATGTTAATGTCGTTCGTTTTACTGTGTTAGGATGTATCGGAGCTAAATCCTCTTACTCCCGAAGTTATAAGTCGACAGGCAACTATTAACATCGGTAAGTAGTGAAAATGTACTGTGTAATTTTTATAGATCAGTTCCCTGCTGAAGAAGTATAATTATCATAAGCTAAGCTTAACTTCCTTCTATTCACTCTTGTAAATATATATTTTCAGGAACAATTGGTCATGTGGCCCATGGAAAATCCACAGTTGTCAAAGCATTATCAGGAGTACAGGTCAATGTCATTTATTAGTAGGTTTTATTAGTTAATTTTTTAAAAAAAACAAACAACAATCTTTATTCACACTATTCAGGTACAAAAGAAAGGTAAGGCAAAAAAGAAACTACAGAAAACGTGATCATTTTGAGGTAAAAGAGGTCAAAGACAAAAGCAAAAGCAAATTAAGCTTTTAAGATGACAAAGAGACAAAGAGACAGACAGAAAGACAGACAGACAGACAGACAGACAAACAGACAGACAGACAGACAGACAGACAGACAGACCTTCTTACTAATCCAACTGATGGTCAGAACAACTACATGTACACTGGAATCCGGATTTTTCAAACCTCTAAGGGAAACAAGAATTGGTTTGAAAAATTGGGTAGCTTGAGAAATCGGGGTAAAATTAGTGTTGGACTGAGTGGAGGGAAACAATGTTTGGTTCCAAGAATAGAGAGTTTTGAAAAACAACCACAGATACCCTAGGTAGCAATGTAAGCTGATACAATTTAGTCACAAATGTTAACTGGTATATGTAAGGGACCCTATGAAACCTTAAGTATCGAGTGTACATTGCAGTGTTTATATTTGTTTCCATTTCAGACTGTCAGATTTAAGAATGAACTGGAGAGAAATATCACAATCAAGTTAGGATATGCTAATGCAAAGGTAAGAATGCAATGACTTTAAGCCTTGTCCCCCTCTGGGATGAATTGGCTGGAAGATAGAGCCATAGAAATGAATTTACATTTGCATAATAGCAACTATGCCTGACGAAGGTATGTTATATGTGGGAAAATTTTGTAAAAGACTTGAGTTAAGGCGAAAGGAATTTGCCAGTTTTGCATAACTTGGGGTCAGGTGGGTGGGGAAACTCTCTGTAGCCATTGAGGAGAGCAGACTTGGGGAAAGAGTGAGATTTGTATGCAAGGCTTGTATATACAATGAAGGTGAAAAAAACATGTGTGGTCAATTTTCTAGAGGTTGGTAAGTGTGGGCTTGGTATGGTATATTTTCAAATCCTGGCTACCAAGTTAGTGTACCTACATGTACACATGTTAAAATAAATACTTAGTTTTGCTGATCATTAGTTTAAGAACATCTGGAATATGTGAGTTACTAACTGGTTGCTAACAATGTCTTTTATTTTTAGATCTACAAGTGTGATGGTAGCTCTTGTTCAAGACCTGGATGTTATCGTTCTTCTGGTAGTGCCAGGGAAGATGTATTCAGTTGTGAAAGACCGGGCTGCAATGGAAAGTTTAGACTAGTTAGGTGAGGTTATTATTAATCTATGAACTTCAGTTTTGGGTTTGTCATTTTGGAAACATTTTTATGAGATTGAATATTTCTTGCACAGCTTGTCAATTACAACAGTGGATTTTTTGCCTTTAGTTAATAATGTGCTCTATTATCTGGGCATGTTTAAAACATGAAATGCCAAAATGATGAAATGGTACTCCAGTTACCAGTAGGCTAAATATCACTGACTCGACAGTGGCTAGTTTTCAATAATTGTAAGGGTTAACCCTTACAGACAACCGGATCCCATCTTGACTCTTACCCATAGTACCATTTCATCATTGGGTGATTCCAGAAAATATCCATACCCCACCACGGACAG